GAATAGCCATAATCCAGTATGACTGGTTTTAGAAGAAGAGATTAGAACAAACATACAGAAGGAAGACCATGAGAAGACACAGGATGATGGCCATCTACAGGCCAAGGAGAGAGGACATAAAAGAAACCAACCTTGCCAACATCTTGATCTTGGACTCAGCAAGGCATGTGCTAAGGCTACAAACTTTCCCAATTTCATTTTATTCCTGGGTTTCTTTCTAGTGTAAAATCTCTTATATTGAAAAAGGTGAGAATTCTGGTTAAACTGTTATTACTGCCTTACAGTCTTCGGCTGTCCTTCATATAAGTTCGGAATATTTCTTATCAAGGATATTATCAGATATTTTATAGTTTGGGCTGAAATTGGGAGCATAATCATTTAAAAATCCTATTTTTGAACTGATTTTTGCTGGTGGATTTTTTTTCCCCTTAAATAAGCATTTCTTCCATTACTGCATTAAACCACTTCTTAATTCTTTACTAATACAGTTTTTCAACTGATCTCTGGAAAATTCTGGATATCAGATTATAAAAGCTAAAAATTATAATAATTTTATCTCTTCTTATCTAAAATCTACAACTCTTATGTCTGTTCATATTTTATTGCTTGACTGAAACTTTCAAAAATATTAAATTTTAATGGTGGCAGTTGGCATCTCTGTGTTTTTTTGGGTGGGGGGGTTGTTTTTTGTTTTTTTCCCCAGGAATAGGAATGCCTCTAATGTTTCATCACTAAGTATTAGACCATTTTAAGATAAATAGAAGAGTTTTTCTGTTTAAAAAAAAAAAAAGGAACATAAATTGAATTTCATCAAAATATTTTTTAGCATTTACTGAGATGAGTTAGAAAACTATTTGATTTGTGAATATATTAGTTAATAGCCAAAGTGGCTTGTGGATAGAAACCAACCTATAAATAAATATTTGAAAGAGCTCAAAGGACAGGTCCTAGATTTAGATGTAAATTTTTGTGTTGTCAGTATACAGCTGGGATTTAGTAGCATATGATCAGAGGAGATCACCTAAGTAGTGGGTGCATGAGTTCAGGAGAGAACAGAACTGCCTGTGCTGAGCAAATCCAGCCCATTTTTAACCCTAGATGAACAAATGTTCCAGAGCCTCCATAAATCAAGTTTCTCTTCTCTAGATGAAAAAATACTGAGAAACAAATAAGCATAAGCGATGGAACAAAAGGCTAAGAGTGTGGGCTTTGATGCCAGAATGTCTAGATTCAAATGCATATCAGTCACCACTTCTGTAGCCTTGAGAGAGATACTAAGTCTCAGCCTTTTCATCTATAAAATGGGGTAATAATAAGTTTCAATTTTTAAAATACACTTAGAGCTCTACATAAATGCTGATTCTTCTCACTTTTTTTTAAAAAGCCACCTGAACATCCTTTCCTGCTCTTTGTCTTTTCACTGAGCTTTAAGATGAACTTCAGATTTAATAAAAACACAAACCACTTTTGTGCTCACCTCAGCAGCATATATACTAAAATATAAACCACTTTTTCTGCATATAGTTTCCTATGAACCCTAAAGGGCTTCGAGAGGCCACTATAGAAATGTGAAGCCCTTTGAAGTTTATTTGCCATTTAGCCTAAAAATTAATAGTTATAATCCAGATAGACTAAAGAAGTATAAGCAGGTCAGAGTAGAAACAGAAACCACTCTTGAAGAGTTCTGCTGCACATAGAGCAGTGAAAGATGACAGAAGAAGAGAAAATGTGGGGCCAAAGGAGCTTTGTCATTTGTTTTCTCAACAAAATAAATTAAGCCCATCTGTATGCTCTTGGAAAAGATCCAGTGGAGCAGGGAAACCACGCAAAGAGAGAGGACAAACGCTTGGAGTAATGTGCTTGGTAGGCAGAGTAGTTAGGATCTGTCACACAAGTGGAGGAGTCACCTTAGATAAGAACATGCAGAAGAACAGGAGGGAAGGAAGAGGATGTGCAAAGATACAGGCAGGTGGGTAGCTTTCTTGGTAGAAACATGTGGAAATCTTCTGATTGTTTCTCTTTTCTCTTTGAAAGTAAGCTCATTAGCTGATAAGGAGATGGGGAGAAGGGTGATGGAGATTTGGGGACAGTGGTAAGTATGAAAGAATCATCTAAACAAATGTACCCAGAGTGACCACTTGTGCACTATTTCTTTTATAATATGAAAAGTAATAAATTGGGCGCCTGGGTGGCTCAGTTGGTTAAGCATCTGCCTTCAGCTCAGATCATGATCCCAGGGTCTTGAGACTGAGCCCCACAACCGGCTCCCTGTTCAGCAGGAAGTCTGCTTCTTCCTCTCCCTCTGCTGCTCCCCCTGCTTGTGATCTCTCTCTCTCAAATCAAGTCTTAAAAAAAGTAAAAATTTTATTTTTATTATTATTTTTTAAAGATTTTATTTATTTGACAGAGAGATATTGAGAGAGAACATGAGAGGGGGAAGGTCAGAAGGAGAAGCAGACTCCTTGCTGAGCAGGGAACCTGATGTGGGACTCGATCCCGGGATTCTGGGATCATGACCTGAGCCGAAAGCAGTCCTTAACCAACTGAGCCACCCAGGCGCCCTAAAAAGTTAATTTTAGAACATGTTTAATATTGCCCTATTGGCTTCAGGATCAATACAAACGAATTAGCATCATATCAAAGACTATTCTTCATTTGTCTTCTTCATAAACCTTAATCTCATCTCCTGTCATATTTTCAGGACAATCTCTATTCCATCTTTATCAATTACATAACAGTTCTCCTCAAATGGCATTATGTTTAATGCCCCCTGTGACAGATTGTATTTTCCAAAGATGACTGAAATAACATATACCATCCCCTATATTCTTCTGTACTGTCAACTTGTAGAGTTTCCTTCTACAGCCCCTTGAATCTGTGACTGTTTTGACCAATAGAATACAGTGGAATCGATATTGTACCAGTTCTGGGAGCAGTCCTTAACTGGCCTGGCAGTTTCTGTCACTTGTGCCTTTTGAAATGCTTGCTGTTGGGATACATTTTCTTGGAACCCAGGCACCATCTGTGAGAAGCAAAAGCTACAAGAGCCAGGAGTAGGTATCTCTGATAGGCAGTACCCTGCCAGACTCCCAGCCAACAGCCAGTAACAAATGCTGGCTATGTGAGTAAGTCATTTGGGAATGTCCATCCCAGTTGAACCTTCAGATAACTGTGCTCCAGACATCTGACTGTAATCACATGAGACCCCAGTTACTAACTTCTCAGGTGAACCCAGTCAATCCACAAAATTGTGAGATAATTTGCTAATTCAAGCTCCAAATTTATTAGGTGGTTTGCTCTGCAGCAATAGATAACTAGAACTGTTCAATGCTGATGTGGTAGATAGCAGTTGTCATAGGAATAGTGGTACTGGCAGATAGATAATTTAGGAAGAAATGATATGCTATATAATCTTAGCAAGTTGCTTAAATTCCTAAAATCCATATTTCCATCAATGGGGATAATAATAAGGACCTCACCTGACATAGTTCCTGGCTTTATTTAAAGAAGGGGTATATATTTCTGACCCCTTCACCTTAGAGTTTAGCTTTGGCCCATGGAGGAAATAACTTACTTGTCCATCATTTTACCTTTTCTTTTTATACGCACATACCAGTTTCACCCCGTAAGATTTACTGATACCATTTGTTGGGCTTACATTTTACTAATGGGCATGGTTATTGAATTGCATGTGTATCTGTGAGTGTGACCTGCATTGCTGTGCATGTGACCTGTTTTGTCTGTAACTGGATAGATGAGAAAATTCCAGCTAGTCTTGCCAATTCAACTATTTGGTAAGTGCACTCACAGTCTCCCCACCAAAGCCAGTTATATATATCCCAGATATAGATGTGGAGACATAGGAAGCTACTTCAGCCTTAGGACAAAGTAGTGTTCTCCAATCAAGCTTTAAAAGAGCATTGGGTACTTAAGAAAAATAGCATTTTATTTATCATATGATTACTAACTGTGTTTGTTCATGGCTTCCCCAACAGAAAAGTATAAATGGATTTAAGAACCAAAGTCCAGGGGTACTTGGGTGCCTCAGTTGATTAAGCCTCTGCCTTTATAGCTCAGGTCATGATGCCAGGGTCCTGGGACTGAGCCCCTCATCAGACTTCCTGCTCAGTGGGGAGCCTGCTTCTCCCTCTCCTCCCCACTTGTGCTCTCTTTGCTATCTCTGTCTTTCTCTCTCTCTCTCAAATAAATAAAATCTTAAAACAAAACAAAACAAAACTCTACCACCTTAACCTAAGAAACTCCTTTAGCATTCAGTTCAAACGCTGCCTCCTCTGGGAAGGCTGCCTTTATGTCTTCATCCAAGTTGTGTTAGGTTTCCTTAACTAAGTTTCCATTTCTCTTTACATCTCTTCTAATATTCACATTTTGTTTGATACTTTCTCCCTATAGTCAATGAACCTCTTCAAAATAGGGAAAGGTCTTCCATTCAAAGTGTTGACACATGGCAGGGTCTTGATATTTGTAGAATGAATTAATATCTTACATACATTATAAATTTTAAGGTCATATGGATATGTGGGTATGCGAGGGGGTGTGTGTGTGTGTGCACAACACTCACCACACACCCTACCCCCACCTTTCTTCCAATGCAAATAGCCAAAACCTAGCTAAAGATTTTCAAGTTATAGCCAAATCCAGAAGTTAAGATACAAAGGGTATTACTTGAGTTAAATAGAAAACTTGTGGCATTTTGTTATTTACCAAAAACAATAATGTATTGATGTCATGTAATAAAGGTTTTACTAACTATTGAATGAACATTTTGAACTTGTAAGTAGATGAATAATTATGCATTAACAGGTTTGATACTGAAATATTAGTTTTAAAAGTCTCTATAATAAATTATTATTAATGCTGCCAAAAAGCAGTACTGAAACCCTGGTACTATTACTTCCTATGTATTTAATGCACTGTAAGTATCTTGGCAAAATAAACAATAACTATATAAGAGCCACATATAAAAATATTTACTTATATACCTTCATCATCAGTATTGAGTTTGGCTTCCAGTTCTGCTATCTTGTGTCTTATTTCAAGCATTGATAGTTGCACTATATCCCTATTATTTAAAATATCTTGTTATGATCCAATTATAATATATAAATAATAACACATAATAACACACCACTACTTAGGAACAATTTATTATGAAACATCACTTATTGAAGGCATGGTTGAGAATCCGAAATCAGGCAAATGGAGACTTCTGATTACCAAGGTCCATAGAGACCCTAATATGCACTAAAGCTCAGAAGCCCCCTGGTGACCTTTAGAAACCCTTTACTCTTAACTTAAATATGATCCCAAGAAGTTGTTATCTGGTTTCTCAAGGCCTAAAAAATTAACTGGGATGAGAGAATGGAATAGCTAGGGCAACAGGTAACTGAAAATCTGAAACAAAGAGTAAAAGAGGAACTAATAAAAAAAATAAATAAAATATAAATATATATATAAATTTAAAAAATTAAAAATTAAAAAAATTAATAATTTTAGAAAACCCCACATACACACAAATAGCATTCCAGAAATTATCTACTTAGGACATCAGTAAAATAGCACATTAATTATCAAAATATGGAAAAATCATTTATGCAATATGTACTTTTGATTGCCTATTATGTCAAGGCATTGTGATAAATGCTGCAAATACTACAGTGCCTGAATGAACTGAACAATGACACTAACAGTGGCTAACATCCATCGAGTGCTTATTATAAGCTGATGTTAAGTGCTTTACACACTTTTCTTTCAATCCTGGCAACAACCACATGGGGCATAGTGATTTGCACACCAATCTTAGAGTTGAGTAAACTGAAGCTTAGTGGTTCATTAACTAGCCCAAGATCATGTAGTTACTCAGTGGTAAGAGCTGCAATTTAAATTTATGCAGGATTCCTCTAAAGTGCTTTCTTTTATACTCTACTGACTCAGGGGACATTCTCAGAATGCTTACAGCTTAATATTAGGCCAAGAAATAACCGAGCAATTAAACAAGTGTTGTTAGAGCTACAACAGAGGAAAGCACAGGAAGCTTTAGGGGCACAGAGGTGAGTATAAATCTCATGGGGCCTGCTGGTGAGATTGTGGGTATCAAAAAAAACCCCCAAAAACCAAAAAAACAAAACACTTAAAATGTCTCAAAGATTTAATAAAAACTATGATATTGAGTATTTTTTAAAAGTACACAGGAGGAGCATTATTTTTACAAAATGTCACCGTTTCATAACTTCTCCTCAAGGGATATTAAGACAAGCATAACTAAACAAAACCTTTGTTTCTCTGAAACAGAAAAGCTCAATTTAGCGGAACATGAAAATCAAAGACATATTTTAGCATTACAGTATATGCACACCATACACTCCATTTGACCTGATGCTAAAGACAGAAGATCCTACCTCATAATCTGCCTATTTTTATTTTATTTTATTGCCAAACACTTAGTCAAAGAGGCAAATGAATCTTTCCTACAAAACAGTGTCTACAAGTCGCCAGACTGCCGGAGTATTAATCACATTGCTGGCGTCACATCGACCTCAGTGGCTCCAGCTTTCAACAGCAGGGCACACACATGGGCATCTTCTCAGGCGGCGTGTACCTGAACCAGACACCCGCGCGGTAGCCCGCGCGCCGCCCTCCAACTCACTTCAAACGGATTTCTTCCAGTAACTCCATTTTAAGGGGGTCGGTGCTCACACCGTCGAAGTTATCGCCTCTCCCTTCCTCCATACTGTGGGATCAGAAACGCCCCCCTGCCCTTCGTCTTTTACAGCTAAGACCACAAGACCTGAAGGGACATCCAGAAGCTGGGGAGGCGGGTATTGTCAGGAGCTGTTGTCATGGTGTACTCACAGTCGCCGGCTTCCCGGCGCCTCGCAGTGACGTCACAGGGCATCGCCCCGGGGGCGGAGGATGGCTCACGGTCCTAGTGCAGGAATGGGACACAGGCTCCGCCGCCACCGAGTGTAGCTAAAACGTAAAGAGGTCTCATTGTCCTGGAAAGACGGTGTTCTAAAGCGCCTCTCAAGGCCCAAAAGCTGGGGCCCCATTCCTTTTTCCAGGTGGAAGGAGGATGTGTACCAGCTACATGGCTGACTGTAAGGGAGTAGGGACTGTTGGCCTTGGTGCTTTTTTAAAACACTGACCCAGGCCTGATGTTTACTTTACTCTTATCCCTTGTTAGGGAAATGCGGAATTCAAGAATGGCAGTGCCTTTCTTCAAGTTTACTGCATACTACAGGCTCTGGTTCAGAGTGCCTGAGGAGCAGCCTTTGAGAAGGCAGGGCCTGAACTGAGTTTCCAGTACAGATTATTCTTTTGTTTGCCAAATCTGCAGACCGTCCGTGGACACAAAGCTGCTTACAACTGATTGAAGTTTCATGCTTATATTTGTAATCACAAATTTTGCATTCTGCTCCTGATATGTCTGGGCTTTAGTATTATCCCTGGCTCCCATCCATCTTTGAGTAGAAAGATGGGCTGCCTTTACCTCTGACTTCTCTGTTACATTTTCCATATCCTGAATCAATTTAAGAAGTGTGAGCATGGGACATTTTCTGACACAAATCAGCACAAGTACTCTGGTAAAGAATTTCTTTATTCTGCTTATTGCTTTGTCTTTAGTGTTGAGAAGAGTGACCCATGGTAGTGGTCACTATATACATATCGGTTATATCCGTAGGATACTCTTTCAAAGATTTTTTTTTAAAGCATAAAAATCATACTTGGTAAATGCTTGTTTCATTGGGTTGCTGCTTACCAGCATACTTATGGAAACTTGATAATTTGTGGGAAAAATAGAAAAAACCTTTGAACCCATGGTTGCTACACTTAGTTTGTATAAAACGGTAGAATGGTTCATTAGATAACATGCTGGAAATAAGTCAAGTCTTCAATTAAAAAGTGGGTTTTAAAAGAGAGAAGGGAGATTCTGGAAATTTGGAAAGACTGTATTGGGAGATATTTTAAGCATGGGGACAATTTAGAATTTAATTGTTTGAATTGAACATTAAGTTTAGTAAGTAGCACATTTGATTGGTACCTGTTTAGTGTCAAGAACAACCCAGATTAGTAGGTGAAAAGAGAATTTGAAGCATTTTGAGGAATTAATTAATAACAATTGAGGGTTTATTATCTACAAAGTGATTTGTAAGAAATGCTAAATAGGTTCATCGCTTTCAAAAAACCCTATAGTTAATTTTAAAAGTTTAATATGGAAGAATTCCGTCAATTAAGTCATGGAGTATGGCAAATTCTTTACTCCCACTTTTGTGCTCAGCCTAAGACAGGTTGTGGGGAGCAAGTTGCAGGTCTCAGACACTCAACAGTGTCTATTCCCTGCCTTGGCGGCTTTCTTTGTTCTTTCCCAGCCAGAATTCTTAGTTTCTGTCTCTCACAGACTGAAGGGGTGGGGATGGAAGTGAGCTGGGGATGGTTTTTGTTCTCTGGTTTCTTTACAGAACCCCCTGCCTCTTTGGGTGAGAAGGGTCAAGAATTCTCTCCACCTCTAATGTCATTTCTAGATCACTACTCTTCCATCCTCATGTAAAAACCCACTCCCTTTTTAATTAAAAGAAAAATAATTCCAGAAGTTAACATAGTGTTATATTAGTTTCAGGGATATAGTGATTCAACAATTCTATACATTACTCAGTGCTCATCATAAGTGTACTCTTAATCCCTCTCATCTATTTCACCCATCTGCCCACCTACCTTTCCTCTGGCAACTATCAGTTTGTTTATACTTAAGAATCTGGTGGGTTTCTTTTGTTTTGGTCTTTTTTTGTTCATTTGTTTTGTTTCTTACATTCCACATATAAGTGAAATCATATGGCATTTAATCTTTCTCTGACTTCCTTCACTTAGCATCGTATTCTTTACAACCATCCATCCAGTTGAAAATGGCAAAGTTTCATTCTTTTTTCTGAGTAACTTTCCATTACATGTATTATATAATGTCTTCTTTATCCACTCATCTATAGAAGGAATCGTGGGCTGCTTCCATAATTTGGCTATTGTCAATAATGCTGCAGTAAACATAGGGGTACATAAATCTTTTAAATAGATGTTTTTGTATTCTTTGGGTAAATACTCAGTAATAGAATTACTGAATCATATGGTAGTTCTATATTTTTTTTTTTTTTAAGGAACCTCCATGCTGGCTGTACCAGTTTGTATTCCCACCAACAGTGCACAAGTGTTCTCTTTTCTCCACACCCTTGTCAACACTTGTGTTTTTGAGTTTAGCCATTCTGACAGGTGTGAGGTGGTATCTCATCTTGGCCATCTGTGTGTCTTCTTTGAAGAAATGTCTGTTCATGTCTTCTGCCCATTTTTAATTGGATCACTTGGCTTTCTGGTGTTGTTATAGAAGTTCTTTATATATTTTGGATACTAATCCTTTATTGGATATCATTTACAAATATTTTTTCCTATTCAGTAAGTTGTCTTTTAGTTTTATTTCCTTTGCAGTGCAGAAGCTTTTTATTTTGGTATCCTCTTAATAATGGAGTTTTTATGGTTTCAGTTCTCACATTTAGGTTAGAACCATTTTAGGTTGATCAATTTTGAATTTTTGTGTACAAGTGGTCCAGTTCCATTCTTTTGCATTATGGCTGTCCAATTTTCCCAGCACCATTTGTTGAGGAGACTGTTCTTTTCCCCATTGCATATTCTTGCTTCTTTTGTCAAATATTAATTGACAATGTAATCATGAGTTTATTTCTGGGCTCTCTATCCCATTATGTGCTGATTTTTGTATCAGTACCCCACTATTTTGATTACTATAGCTTTGTACTATATCTTGAAATCTGAGATTGTGATACCAGTTTTGTTCTTCTTTTTCAAGATTGTCTGGCTATTTAGGGTCTTTTGTGGTTCCATACAAACTTTAGGATTATTTGATCTAGTTCTGTGAAAAATGCTATTGGTATTTTGATAGGGATTGCATCAAATCTGTAGATTTCTTTGGGTAGTATGGACATTTTAACAGTATTTGTTCTTCCAATCCATGGGCATGCGGTATCTTTCCATTTGTTTGTGTCTTCAATTTCTTTCAATGTTACAGTTTTCGGAGTGAAGACCTTTCACCTCTTTGGTTAAGTGTATTCCTAGGTATTGTATTTTTGGTGCAACTATAAATGGCATGCATTCCTGATGTAACAACCTTCTACTCTTTCTCCTTTTTTCTACCCAGAGACTTCACGGTCATTCCTTATCTACTATGACATTAAAAGTGTCTTTCCATGGAAAGTTTTCCCATAACCTTGCCCTTCAACTTGCAACTCTCATTGCTTTAATCTCCACTCCACTTCCATAGCTATAAATACTCTGAATCCTGTCACCAGAGTGGCTTTACCTGAGAAAACTTAAGTTCAAAAACTGCTATCAACCAAAACCTCATTCTTTCAGCTCCCAATTCAGTTACTCCCTAAAGAGCAATGTTTTATTAACTAATTGTCTGTGGAGCTTCTTAAATCTGTAAATGCTGGGACCCTATCCCTTTTCACAGCGATCTTACTTCCTTAACAGCACACTCTAGCAATTTGCTCCTCAGCTGGCTTCCAAAATGGATTGGGGTGTGTGTGTGTGTATGTGCCTGTGTAGAGGACACTTGCCATTAGTCACTGTTTCCTCTTAATGAACAACTTTCAGGGTGATCAAATTATTTCTTCACATGTGACAACTTTTTGCATAGAATACATCTGAAGGTATTATTTGGGGCCTCCCCCCCCAACTAATCTATGTTCTTAAAGATATTCAGCTTTCTATATCTTTAAATATGAATAGAAAAAAATTTTGACGAAAACAAGCTATTCAGAAATAACAGTGAGCCAATTCCTCATAATCTCTTTATATACACACATGCATGCACATGTTTATTTCTCTCTCCTAATGGTCCTGTTTCTCTGGAACACTCTAATATAGAAGTTATACTTATAAAGATTATGTCTATTAATCTAAAAAAGCAACCCACAACCAAATGAGCAAAGCAGAATGAAGTAAAATGGACAACTAAATACAAATCCAATTTTTGACAAATCCAGTTTTGCTGACCACTGCTCTAAGTTAACTTTGTAAACTTTAGGGTCCACTATTTGTCATTCCACTTCTCAAATTTAAGGCAGAGATTAACTGGAAGCTATTTAACAATTCAGTTTTATTTCCACATTATCCTTAGCCTTAGGGAAAGGATCCATTAATTCTAGGTGTTCCCAAAATACGATCCTGTGCATACATTTGAGGCCAAGTAATTCAGAAACAGTTTATTCATAAAGGGTGTTTTTAAGACAGTTTCAAATAAGGTCTAACAAACTAAGTAGCCATTAAACTAAAGTAGCCAGAAATATCAGAATGGACAATAGATATGAAAATCAATACCAATCATTTATAATCAGTAAACAAAAATAAAATGCCATTAGGTATTTACTTATGTATTTGTACCTTATAGGTGTGTGAATGTCCTGTCTTCTGCCAGAGTGGAAACCATTATACCTCACCCACCATGGATTAAGCCTGAATTCTTCACATTCTTAACCATGATTATAAATAGAAGCTTTTCTAATAATTTATTGGCTTTAACATAAAAATTCCAATGACTAAATCCCAAAATAAAAATACATTTACCATCCAAAAAATTCTGTTTATATTTTTTATACAAATTTAGCCTCTTGGAGTAACTTAAAGAAGTAGATATGGTAAAATAATTTCTTAAAGTACTTTTTTGTCCAATTAAGGTGATGATATTCACAAATTTTAATACAATATCAATCATATACCAAAACTTCCTAGGCTCCTAGTAGATCAATAGCAGTCTAAATCTAGAAGATTAAAAAAAAAATTTTGTATTCATTCTAAATCAGAAAGACCATCCCTCTTCCTAACGAAGATATAAGCTACCAAATAATTTTATAGAACCTCATCTTATTTTTCATGATTAAAAAAGTCTTTTAAATGTTATCTGAGAATTCTTTTAGTTTAGGATTATAGTTATTTTTAGCTTACACACTGAAAATTCTGATAAGCACCTAGGGGGGAAAAAAATCCACAATTAGTGCAAAGCCAGCAGACAATATTTTAAGTCATTCTTTCAAGTACAACTAGAGCTAAGGTTACTAAATGCCAAATTTTATGTAAATATATAATTTCCTATCTTGCTTTTTGAAAGACAGCAAATACAAAAATAGTTTAACATCAGGTTTAATGAGGTTTATAGCATATGTATTATTAATCTTATTTTAACTGCAAAAATATTTCAGCCACATTTAGAAAAAATAATGAGAATATAACCCTATATTCTAAAGGCCATATGCAAGAATACTGATTCTTTTCCTTGTAAATAGAATACATGCTATAAAGCTTATGAAATAGTCACTTCATAGGAATGAATACATTTTTAAAACACTGGTTAATCTGTGGGGAATTCCACATTTGCCTATTTAACAAAAATGTATCCACCTTGTAAGGCTTTGGTATAGGTGATTCACAGCACTTCCATCATTTCTCTTTCTTCTTTGCCTCACTCTTCTCTAGTTCCTTTGTCTCCTCACCCTTCTCCCTTTTCATGTTTACGTTTGCTCTTTCTTCTTGATTTCTTCCCTTAGAATTATCAACTATTTTATAGTCTTCAAGGAGTGTTTGTCCCGTTTCTTTTGCAGTTTTCTTCACCATTGCTTTGATACCAATGTTGTCAATATTATAGGCAGTTACACCAACATTGATGGCAGAATCTACTGCATCATGTGTAGCTTCTCCAGCAGTATGCCCATATCTTTAAAAGAAAGGATTAGAAAAAAGTGTAATGAAATTATAAATATAAATTAAGATCTTTTGAATTAGTGTTAAATAGTCCCATGTTTAGTATGTTATTCCTGAAAGCAAAATCAAAGGTTATGTTTCAAGTTAATTAATAACTTAAAACACAGTAAAGAATAAAATCAAACTGTGCCAAGGCTGCATTTCTCCTTTAGCAAAAACTGTGAAAATAAACTCAGGCTAGCTGAGATTTATTTAATAAAGATGGTTTATGTTGAAGAATAAAATGTAAATTATAATAAAGATTATTCATCAGTCACTATTTCCCTTTTTTTAACCCACCCTTTCTGGAAATAGAGAATTTTCAATGAAGCCAACTGTAGGGCACAAAGAATCTATAGTCACTATAAATGGTTTTGAGTTCTACCTTAACTAGACTTTGGTTAGGTCTTTTATTTGTTTTATTTATTTTTTAATGAGGGATAGTGGGTAGGATAAGAGAGGTGAGAAGCAGAAGGAGAGGGAGAGGAATCTTAACCAGGCTCCATGCCCAGAGGAGAGCCCGACAGGGAGCTTGATCTCACAAACTTGAGATCATGACCTGAGCAGAAATCTAGAGTCAGATGCTTAATCAACTAAGCCACCCAGGAGCCAGAATCTGAGGTTGTCTTTTTTTTTTTTTTAATTTGACAGATAGAGATCACAAGTAGGTAGAGAGGCAGACAGAGAGAGAGGAGGAAGCAGGCCCCCTGCTGAGCAGAGAGCCCGATGTGGGGCTTGATCCCAGAACCCTGAGATCATGACCTGAGCCGAAGGCAGAGGCTTAACCCACTGAGCCACCCAGGCGCCCCTCTGAGGTTGTTTTTAAGCAAAGATTCTACAACACTTCCTCCCTCACTCCACTCTGTGGCAGACTCACTGGCCTTATGTTCTTCGAAGCCATCAAACACACATGAGCCACCTTAAGACCTCTGTACTGGCTGAAATTTGCCTAAACTATTCTCACCCTAGGTATTTACATGTCTCACTGCCTAAGCTTCTTCAAATCAGCTAATTGTCTTCTCACTATCTCACCTATTTCAACTGCCTTACTCCACATGCTCTACCCCACTGCCCATCAATCTGTCCTTAAGCTGTTCTTATTGTATAACTTACCACCTGCTACAGACTATAGAACTTAGGAACTCCCATTGTTTTTGCTTTGCTTATTGTCTTGCCAGAATAGAAACCCTATTAGAAAAAGGACTCTGCCATGATCTTTAATGTATACTACGCAGTGAGAACACTGCCTGTCATTCAATATTTGTTGAATGAATAGATTTAATTCCTGCCCTATCCACACACAGTTTCTAGTACATCAAAATGTATAGCAAAGTGCTTGGGAAATTATAAAAGCACTATACAAAAGTAGTCCTTATTGACAATTACCAATATCTGTGCTTAATACTGTTTCTATAAGAAAATACAAGTTAAAGGGCTACACAAAGATACTAAAAATTATCCCACTGCTGTTTCTCTTTACCCTTTTCAAAGTACCAGGTTTTTTCTTGCCTAGCAACAACCAACAAAAAGGCAACATTTTACATTTTTCTCCAGGACACACTGAAATTTCCTAGGTGATTTGTGACCTGTATCTGGACATTTTATACTAATATTGGATCTGTCTTTGAATTCCCAAGTCCTCTATTACCATTACTCTGGCCTGGAACAGTGGATTGTGATCCTACTAGCTTGCTCATGCTTTTTTTTTTTTTCAATCTCAGTGCTAGAAGTGTGAATCTTATTATGTTCCTGAATGAGGATTCCATTCATTCCTGTGTCTCATGTTAATAATTAGAACCAGAGGATGACAGAATCTACAGTTTGTCAAACTGTATAGCTATACATTCTTTTTAAAAAAGATTTATTATTTATTTAAGACAAAGCACATGTGCTTCGGGGAAGAGGCAGATGGAAAGAGGAGAGAGAATCCCAAAGCAGATTCCTCAATGAGTGCAGAGCCATAGGGCTCAATACCAGGACCCCAAAATCATGACCTGAGCCAAAATCAAGGGTCAGATGCTTCACCCAGGAGACCCCATACCACTCTTGATTGGGGCTTTCTCACAGTTACCAGACATCAAAGCTTCCTTAACAGCCACCTGCCAGTACCTGTTGCTTTGCAGTCCCTCGACATTCCACAGCACTTGCTGATTTTGCAGAAGACATGGAACCTTCTCACTGTCAATCAAGCCCCCAAAAATACTATCATCAGGTGGCAATGGCTAAAGCTAAATGAGAAGAAAGAGGTGGCAGCAGTTTCAGCACTGGAAGAGTGAGCTTAACTCTTGGTTGAACAGGTTTCTCTTAGAGCTTTTCTTTTCCACGTCTGTGTGAGCTATAAGGAAGTGACATGGTTAACCTAAGAATTTGGCCGTATCATTGTTTGTGAATATAGGAAATCCTCCAGATTCAGGACCTTCCACTTCCCTATTCTACTGATGCATTCTGATACCTCTAACTGCACTCATATTTTTATATGAAACACAATTCTAAAGGCTACATTATTAGTAGTAATGTGCTAAAAAGGAGTCTGTGTTGATACACTAAGGTTTTGTTTTCCCATGCTATCTCCATTTCAGCAGCAATTCCTGTTAATTTGGTTAACAGTACCAAACTAGGAGTCAAAAAACTACATTTTAATACCAATTGTGCCCCAAACTAATCATATGATGTTGGTGAGGTCTCAACCTCTTTACATTTCATCAATTATTACTTCATTTAATAAAATGAAATGTCTAGGTTAAGGCACTTTGAAAATTCCATTATACAATATGTGTAATTATTTTTAAAGACCCTATAAAATGGCTTTTAAGCAATTGTGTTTATTTACTTTAATATATCCTCATCTATCACTTCTGCTTCCTAGTATGCCTTAGAACCAGTATTTCTGGCAGGAATCTGTTCTTCTCTTCCTTGATAAGTAACTGCTCAGTTCTTTTCTTCATTCAAACTATACCGTAGATTCAGACTACACTGCTAAAAACTAAAAAGCCTATTTCTGGTAAAAAGACGTTTATTTTTTATTTCTTTTTAAAAAGTTTAATTATAGCTTATTAGATTTTATATGCCAAGTAACACTACCAATTGAAGAGAATTAAAAATGAATATAAAGTATGCTCTAAATAAGTCAATGAGACTTAATATACAATTTAAATGAGACTTTTCAGAAATTTCTCCAGAAAAAATTCTCCAGCACGTTCAGTAATGTCTACAAAGAAAACAAATTGGCATTGATTCTAGATTTCATTAATTATAACAAAATTTCAGTCATAACAAATTTCTAGCAAATCTGCCTAAAATTCAATTTACTTTACATGCAACCTTCAAAAATATTCTTGGAAATATTAATCTTAAATATTTGAATTAGAAACAGCATCTTCTTAGTCTATCCATCCAAGGCAGGTGGGTTGTGGCCAATTTAAGAAGGACCTTATAAGTGAAGCTGAGGAATTTAAACTTTATCTTGAAACTAATGGGAATGGCACAACCAAATTTACGTTTTAGATACCTAAGTCAGGTTGCATTGTGAATTGTAAGGGTGTAAGAGGGAGACAGAGGAACCAGTAAGGAAACAAGCTATAAGATGGATGAGAAATGATGAATCTCTATTCTATAGTAGTGATCACGAGACTGGAGAGGAAAAGATAAATATAAAAAACAGGATTTAGTGAATGAACAGCTGTAGGGTGATGCAGTTGGGATTCATGAAGCTTAAAGTTTAAAACAAAAATTAACTGGAAACATAGATTTGAGAGGTTGTAACTATAGACACCAGTATAAATAATATCCACAAAGAACAGAAAAAGACTGAGCAAAGAGTGAAACCTTAGAACCAATATTTAATGAATGTATATGGAAGACAACAACCCTGAGAAGTAGTCTGATAAGACAAAATTGAACTGTGAGTTAAATGAGAATACTGTTAAAATTTGTGGACAGCTGACCCACTAATCTTAACAAGCAGTAAGTCATTGAGCAAGATCAATCAGAAGGAGAGGCTACAGTGAGCATGTGATTAGACTTTATTCATGAAAAATGAAGGAAAATATCTAAGACATTAAAAAGACATGTCTTTCAAATCTAAAGATAACATTAAATGGAACTCTGGCTAATATGATATATACTAAATCTGAAGCCAAACTGGAAGACAGACTTAATGATGAGTCAAAATCAACAATAAGAAATTAAGCAAATGTAAACACAAAGTTCTTAGTTTTAGGTGCATGTATCAACTGTCCAAAAATAAGACGAAGGCCCAGATTTTAAATAAAAGGTTCATTTCTTTAAAAAGCCCAAGTTTGATATGGGTCAATGAAGTAACAGCTACTAAAAAGATACACTCTTTGTGTTGTATGCCCTATTTCTCAAATGCTAAATATGACCAAATGAGGGAGGCAAATCCCACTGTATTCTATCTGGTCACAATACATAACACTACATTCAATTCTGGGTTCCATTTTGAGAAGAACACTGGTAAATGAAGGATTTGGAAACCATACTATATATGGAATTAAAGGAACAGGGAGTATTTCGAAGTTAAGAAAAGGTTAAGTGGAACACATGATGATAATCTTTAAATACTTATATAGTTACCATATGAAAAAGAGAAGACTGATCTTATAGAACTCCTGAATCGATGCTATACAGAACTGGTTTTGGGTAATATGACATCTGCCAAAAAAAATTACCATCAATGAATTTGAATTTGCCCCTTCACCTAGTGCAAATTTAAGGGGAATTTTAATTAAAATTCATTAAACAAACCAATAAAATACTGTATCTTGAAAAGGTAAATTCCTTATAGAAAAACAATTTTACTAAGCTTATTCTTCTGAAAAATGGAGAACACATTTTATCTTAGAATAAGATAAAATTTTAATAAGGGGAAAACAAGAATGGATCTAACTTTCTGAATTTATATGATTTTCCTCTAAACTATTTGTTTAATTTTTTAAAGTTTATTTAGTTTTTTTT